GGTAATGTTTTATGATTGTCAACTACCGTCTTTAGTGTTAAAGTGGTGCTTTAATCCATGCTTTTGTTTGTCTTAAGAGATAAGCAAAATCTTCCAAGTGTTTGGCTGATATAATGAATATATAAACACAACTTTATTTTTGTCAGTAATTAACACATTGCCAAAAGAAGTAACAGCATTAGCAAACTTTGGAACAAATATATTAACAATCAAAAGAAAATGAATTTTATGCACTTTGATCAGCAAATTCTAAGAGGAAAATGAGTATATATCTATATGTATATATATTAATTTACTAACATATGGAGAAGTAAATACACATAAGCAACAAAAGTAAATACAGATGAGCAAAACTGATCTAAAAAGTGAGTGTCAAACTGGTAGTATCATTTAATTTCATTATGGTATTTCAAATAACCAATAAACATTAACAGTATTGATTAATGTTGAGGGGTTAATTCATTTATTTTTGTTGGTCAAAGCCACATTAAACTGAAAATATAATGGCTGATTTGTGGTATTGTCTGATATTTAAAATAACCAGACTACAGTTCTTACAAAGGAATTTGAAACTACAAAGACCCAAAGGCTGCTGGGAATTGTAGTCCTCTAAAACTTACCTGGAATGGAAACTGATTCTTGGAGTAGCAGCAGCATATTTCATTCAGTTTACAATACTTTAAAAACTTCCCAAAAATAAAATATTTTTCTTTTAGATGTTTCATCAATTTAGTGTTAAAATATACCTCAGTAGAATTGTAAATGCTTTTATGTATAATTATACCAATTTTAACTTTCCTCTCCTTTCTGTCCCAAGGATATAAATTGTGCCAATTTATGTTGACATTTCGTTTATGAGTATAGTCCCACAAAGTTTCTGCTAGTTTTTCAAGATCTTAATCTCTGTGTTTATAGACACCGTAGGCCTATTTTCTCATTCATCCCAATATCTGGTAAATTAATACTCTCTTTTCTTGAATCATAATATTTCCTGGACTCTACCTTTTCTTTTCTACTCTATCCAATCAATATCTACTAGATTGATGCCCAGTTTTATCATCAGAAACCACCTTATTCAATTATTTACTTTTTTTAGAGCAGTTTTAGGTTCACAGCAAAAGTGAGCAGAAAGTAGAGTTCCCATATGTCCCTGCGCCACCCAGGCGCAGCCTCCCCTGCTATCAACACTGCGTGGGAGTGCTGCATTTGTTACAATCGATGAACCTAGTGGACACGTCATTATCACCCAGAGTCCATTGTTTACATTAGCAGTCATTCTTGGTGTTGTGGAGTCTGTGGATTTTGGTAAGTGTATAATGACATATACCCACTACTGTAGTATCATACAGAACAGTTTCACTGCCCTGGAAATCCTCCGGGCTCTCCTTGTTCATCCTTCCCTCTCCTCTAGCCCCTGGCAACCACTAAGCTTTTTACTGTCTCCATAGTTTTGCCTTTTCCAGAATGTCATATGGTTGGAATCATACTGGTATGTAGCCTTTTCAGATTGGCTTCTTTCGCTTAATAATACACATTTTTCTTTCCTCTATGTCTTTTCATGGCTTGATAGCTCATTTCTTTATAACGCTGAGTAATATTCCATTTTTGGGATGTGCCACAGTTTATCCAATTACCTACTGAAAGATGTCTTGCTTGCTTTCAAGTTTTGGCAGTTATCATTAAAGCTGCATAAACACCCATGTGCGAGTTTCTGTGTGGACATAAGTTTTCAACTCCTTTGGGTAGATGTCAAGAAGCATAATTGCTGGAGCATATGGTAAAAATATGTTTAGTTTTGTAAGAAATTGCCAAACCGACTTCCAGAGTGGCTGCACCATTTTGCATTCTCACTAACAATGAGTGAGATTCCTCTCGTTCCACATCCATGCCAGCATTTGGTATCGTTAATGTTTTGGATTTTGGCCATTCTAATGGGTATATATCTTATTTTAATTTGCAATTCTTTAATGACATATGATGTTGAATATCTTTTTAAAAATATAATATTTATTATTATCTGCATTTTGTTACTTTTGCTCAGCATTTTGCCTATGAGATTCATCCATGTATTCTACATATCAGTAGTTCATTCTTATTGCCATGTAGTATTCCTTTGTACGAATACGCCATACTTTGTTTATCCATTCCCCTGTTGGACATTTAGATTGTTTCCATTGCTTGGCAATTGTGAACAATGTTGTTATGAACATTCTTCTACAACTCCTTTTGTTACAGTCATAGATTTTCATTTCTCCAGGATAAATACATAGGAGTTGAACTGCTGTGCTGAAGAGTAGATGTATACTTAACTTCGTAGGAAACTGCCAAAAATTATTCCAAAGTGATTGCACTGTTTATAAATCTGCCAGCAACATTTGAGAGTTCCTGTTGCTCCACATCTTCACCAAGAATTGACGACGTCACTTTTTGATTTTACCCATTGTGTGGGTGTATCTCAGTGTTCTTTCTTTCTTTCTTTCTTTTTTTTTTTGCTGAGGAAGATTGGCCGTGAGCTAACTTCTGTGCCTGTCTTCCTCTGTTTTCTATGTCGGATGCCACCACAGCATGGCTTGATGAGTGGTGTGTAGGTCTGCACCCAGGTTCCGAACCTGCGGACTCCAGGCCACCAAAGCAGAGCATTCAAACTTAACCACTGTGCCACTGGGTCAGCCCCCTAGTGTTCTTTTTCAGTATTAATAAACTTTGCTTTTTAGAGCAGTTTTAGATTCACAGCAAAATTGAGTGGAAAGTACTGAGAGTTACTGTATAATCTGTGTCCCCACACATGTACAATCTCCTCTGCTGTGAATGTCCTGCACCAGAGAGGTGCATTTGTTACAACTGATGAACCAACAATGACACATCATTATCACCCAAAATCCATTGTTTACGTTAGACTTCACTCTTGGTGTTGTACATTCTATGGGTTTTGGCAAATGTATAATTCCTCCCTCCTGTTCCTTGTATCATTGCTGTCATTCATTTCACTTAGACATAAGCACATATTTGTATATATATATATACATACATATGTACAGACACATACACAAGCATGCATAATCAAACACATTGTTGCTATTATTTTGTTGAACCAATTATCTGTTAAATCAATTAAGGATAAGAAAAATAAAAGTTTTTATTTTACCTTCACTTATTCATTCTCTGATGTTCTTCCTATATTTATGTAGATCCAAGTTTCTGGCCTATATCCTTTTCTTGTCTCTGAAGAACTTCTTCTTTTTTCTTTTTTTAATGAGGAAGATTGGCCCTGAGCTAAGCTCTGTTGCCAATTTTCCTCTTTTTGCTTGAGGAAGACTGTCGCTGAGCTGACATCTGTGCCGATCTTCTTCTATTTTGTATGTGGGACGCCACCACAGAACAGTTTGATGAGCGGTGTATAGGTCTCTGCCTGGGATCCGAACCCATGAACCCTGGGCTGCCGAAGCAGAGCATGTGAACTTAACCACTACACCACCGGGCCAGCCCCTCTGAAGAACTTCTTTTAACATTTCTTACAAGGCAAGTCTACTGGCAACAATTCCCTCAATTTTTTTTTGTTCGAGAAAGTCTTCATTTCTCCATCATTATTGAAGGATAATTTCACAGGATACAGAATTCTACATTGGGGATTTTTTCTCTCACCACCTTAAATATTTCACTCTACTGTCCTCTTGCTTGCATGGTTTCTGAGGGTAAGTAGGATGAAATTCTTAACTTTGCTTCTCTATAGGAAAGGAGTTTTTTCCTCTGGCTTCTTTCAAGATTTTTTCTTTATCTTTGATTTTCTGTAGTTGGAAAATGATATGCCTAGGTGTGGTTTTTTGGGGCATTTATCTTGCTTGGAGTTCTCTGAGCTCTTGGATTTGTGGTTTGGTGTATGACTTTAACGTGGGGGAAATTCTCAGTCATTATTGCTTCACATATTACTCCCATTCCTTTCTCTCTTCCTTTTCCTTCGGGTATTCCTGCTGCATGTATGTTACACCTTTTGTAGTTGCCCCACAGTTCTTGGATATTCTGTTCTATTTTTCTCTCTCTCTTTTCTCTTTGGTTTTCAATTTTGGAAGTTTCTATAGTTATATCCTCAAGCTCAGAGATTCTTTCCTCAACCATGTGCAGTCTACTTATGAGCCCGTCAAAGACCTTCTTTATTTCTGTCACACTGTTTTTTTTATCTCTAGCATTTCTTTTTGGTTCTTTCTTAGAATTTCCGTCTCTCTGCTTATGTTATCCCTCTGTTCTTGCGTGCTGTCTAATTTTTCCATTAGCCCTCAACATATTAATCACAGTTTTGAATTCCCAGTCTGATAATTCCTACGTATCTGCCATAGCTGACTCTGGTTGTGATGCTTGCTCAATCTCTTTGAACTGTATTTTTTGCCTTTTCATATGCCTTGTAGTTTTTTGTTGAAATCTGGGCATGCTGTACTGAGAGAAAGGAGCCACAGTAAATAGGCCTTTAGTGGTATGGTGGTGAGGTGTGGGGGAGGGGAAGTGTTCTCTCATCCTGGGATTGGGTCTCAGTCTTTTGATGAGCCTGTGCCCCTGGACTGTGAACCTCACAGTGCCTCTCAATTTCCCCCCATATTAGGGGGTATAGGATGGCTAGAAGGAGCTGGAATTGTGTATTTCCCTTCCCCCATGTGGAAGGCTAGAGGGAGCTGAAATTCAGTATTTACGTTCCCTGGGTAGGTTAGGCTGTGATAAAATCCCCACAGGTTAGGCTCTAGTAAAATACTTTCTCCTGAGAGCAGGCCTTGTTAAGAAGAACAGAAATCTCTGGCATATTTCAAAATGGTTATTTTCCCCTGCCCCTCCCAGAAGCATGGGGGGATTTTTCTCTGATATTCACTGTGAGGACCTGGCAGAGCTCCTGAAGGTGAGACTCACAAAAGTTTGCCCTCCCCAGCCCCGAGACTGCACCCTCTGGAGTGTTTAGCTCTCTGGCTTGTCCACACTGACTTCCAGCCGTTTGTCAGTTACAGTTCGGGTTTTCCTACCTGTCCCTGGTTACCATGGAGCTCTTGGCTCTGGGCTTCCTGCTCCAGTAAGCTGGGGTTCTCTGAATTGCCTGTCTGTCTCTCCAATTTAGGGGCAGCGTTTTGCGCCATGACCTCACTTCTCTTTCGGATCTAAGAAGAGTTGTTGATTTTTCAATTTGTTCAGCTTTTTGCTTATTGTTAGGATGGAGTGGCCGCTTCTGAGCTCCTTTCCTGATGGACTGGAAGTCTCCAATTCTTTACTTTTTAATCACAAGTGTGAGACCACTATGAAGGGAAATTGAAGCAATATCCACATATTCACTCAATTTTGCACCTAGTGCTTTGGAAAACTTTTGGAGAAAAATATGAATGTGGTGTAATCTTTACGTTCTCCCGAGATGTACCAGAATAAGAGTCAACGAAGCACGGAGGAATTCTATACTCAGATTGGTGGGTAAAATCTGAGGTATGCAAAACTCCAATTTTTTAAATCACTCACTATTTAGGTCTGGTTTTGAAAGCATTCTGAGGTGCTAATGTAGATACAACCTTAAACATAAACAAAATGCACCCTTGCTCCCCCTGCACCCTGCTTCTCCCGAGGACCCTCACTGTTAGCAATGTGGAACCCTGCTTTGTGGTAGAAGGTACGTGGTATGCACAAGTTGACTACATTTCATTTTTATGTTCTTCCTTTGAAGTGTCTCAAAGAACCTTTTTTAAGCTCTCAAAATACAAAATTTTCCTGAGCTCCTAAATATTTCACCAGTGTGGTTAATTTTTCCATGTGGATTATCATCTCAGAAAGCTCAGAAAATAAATATTTTGGAGACTTTTGTTTTCCGTGACCACTAACATTCTTGGCATTTGGTGAGCAATATAGGCTATTTCCCCAACTGGCTCTCCAGAAAAGTGAGTCCCTAATACTTTGTAGATGTTGTTTCCACACTTATGCATAGAATGATGTAACCTGGTGAAAATAAGGCTCAAAAGTGATATAAAATTCATAAGTGAGTGAAATTGCCTTTGGTCGAGGGATCAAAACAGAGATCACAGAGCTAATGGCATTGAGGACACTTTTAGGCCACCGGTGCGTCCCAACAGCCTTAAAGCTCTTCATGCCATTTTGTCTGATTATTCCACTTTAAAGTTATTCCAATTACAAAGTTATTCATCATAACATTGTTTGTAACAGCAGACAATTAACTTTAGGGGAGTAGGAAAGACCAAAAAGAGTTTTATATCCTTTTGGTGGAAAGCCAAGCGGCCATTGGAATAACCTTGAGAATGTTTGTCTTCCATGCCCTTGGCGTGGTGATCTCCTTTTTGATCTCTTGACTGGGGTAATTTCCCTCATTTCTGAACTTTTGCATCATTTTTGAACACTATGCTCATCAGATTACAGAAAGTGTGGATTATTTTATTGGCGTCCATTAAACTGTAAATATGTTGAAGTGAGGGACTTTGCCTTTCTCACCTGTCTTTTTCTTGAACATGGTGCAAACTACTAGATTCTTCAAGAATAATACAGATAAGAAAGACAAAATCCTTCGAAGGAATTTAGTTATATAACACCTATCCCTCCAAAATATGATTGAAATTTCAGTTAAGATGGTATGATGACAGTGACTAATTGCGTAAAGTACAAACTCTGCTGCTCTCTCTTTAGTATGTAAACGGAAGAGGAGCATTGTGATCAGCGACCAGTGACATCACTGCTTTCAAAGACTGCTCGTGACTGGTCACTGGACACCCGTTATTCAGTCTATGCCTGGACAACAAAGTGTGTAGCAGGGTTGCCTGTTTGTCTCCCAGTGATAAACCCAAATGACTTCTCTACAAAAATGGATAATGGAAAGAGGGAATTGGCCAAGAAAGATGAATGTGCCGCAAAATAACAAAAGTGGTAATGCTGGAAGTGAACTTTGAGTCCAGTGTACATGGCGTTATAGAAGAAAGAGCTGACTGTGGGGATGTCGACATTACTGCTGTTCAAGAGAGTCTAGATATGCAGCCAGAGGAAAACAATGAAAACAAACCCGTGGACAGATATGAGGCACTGGGTTGTGATGAAAAGAGTGAAGATGTCCCAGAGGAAGTAATGCTGGCAAAAATCTTTAAAGGAACTTTTAGAAACATTTCATGACATTAAAAGTGCAGAGGATAAAGTGTTGAAGCTGATGCAAGTTTATAACCCAAACTTAGAAAGGAGCATCACAGTTCACCAAAGCAAAGAGGCACATCCTAAGTTAATGCCCTGAGAAGGAGGCCAGCTCTGTGCAGACTAATCTCGACAAGATTTTTTACAAAAAAAAGAGGACACTTCGCTTTTTAATGTTTCAAATTATTGTAAAGTAAATACTTTTCTTTTCTTTTAGTAGTTTTACTATTTTTTTCTTTTCTCTATATGTTTACAGCCGACAGTGAGAGTTTTGAATGTTTTGACAAGAACAGGAAACTTTCTCGTTAGGCTTTTAACTTGTAACAGTGTTTATGCTGGTTTTGATTCTGTCACCAAAATTAAGTTAAATAACTTGCATTATTCTGCATATAGTGTTAAGAATATAAAGCAGAATATTTAATCGTGTGCTCGCTAAGATTACACCAAATTTATTTCTTCCTTTTTGAATTCTTAGTTATCTTATTGAGGGCACACTGTTTTAGAACATTGTGTAAGTTTCGGATGTACATCATTATATTTTGGCTTCTGTATAGACTGTATCATTTTTACCACCAAAAGTCTAGTTTCCATCCTTCACCATACACATGTGCCCCTTTACCTCTTTGGCCATCCTCCCACCCCCTTACCTTCTGGTAACTGCCAATCTGTTATCTTTACCTATGTGTCTGTTTATTTATCTTCCACATATGAGTGAAATCATACGATAATTATCTTTCTCTCTCTGACTTATTTTACTTAGCATAATACCCTCAAGGTTTTATCCATGTTGTCGCAAATGGCACAATTTTGTCGTTTTTTTATGGCTGAGTATTTTTCCATTGTACATATATATGTACCACATCTCCTTTATCCATTCATCTGTTGATGGGCACTTGGGTTGCTTCCAAGTCTTGGCTATTGTGACTATGGCCGCAATGAATATAGGGGTGCATAAATCTTTTCGAATTAGACATTAGAGCTGAATTTTAAAAAAACATCTGCTGGGGCTGGCGCAGTGGCATAGTGGTTAGGTTCACTCACTCTGCTTCAGCAGCCTGGGGTTCACAGGTTCGGACCCTGGGTGCATACCTACGCACCACTTGTCAAGCCATGCTGTGGCGACAGGCCACATACAAAGTAGAGGAAGACTGGCACAGATGTTAGCTCAGAGACAATCTTCCTCAAGCAAAAAAGAAAAAAAAAGAGGAAGATTGGCAACAGATGTTAGCTCAGGGCCAGTCCTCCTCACCAAAGAAAAATCCAACAACAAAAAAATCCATCAGCAACATAAACATGCTAATATTCCCGTAATAATTATTTAATTAACAAAAAATTACCCCATCTCTTTGGTTATGAAGCTACAGTACTTTTATAGCCAAATAATAAATTAATAAACTGGAACAGTAAGATTAGAAGCTAAGATGGAAAACATTCACAGTAAAAATGACTGTTTCACTTTGGAAACAGAAAACGTTCACCGTGTGCATAGCTTCACTCTTACAGCTGGTGAAGAGCCCGTAGAGCTCCTGCTCTTTCCTTTTCTGTTCTATTCTCTTCATGGTCAGCGCTCCACGGTCGCTGACTTCCCAGCCTCTTCTGCCTCTTGGCGCAGACAGGAATTGGAATTCCACTGTGTGGCCCACTCTTTGTTGCTCCTTGGTTTTCCTACTCAATGGTCCCCCGTGGGCACTTCATCAAGAAATAAGTCCTTAGCCTTCATTTGACTCCTTTTACAGGCCAGTTTCTCATCCATTGATATTAGGGTTAGACAGTATCATAAGTTGCTTTATCCAGTGATGTTCATACCTGTTTTTTTTTTTTTTCTTGAGGCAACAATGTATTTTTCAAAAGAATTCTTAAATGGAAGCTGAATGTAAAAGTCAGATGAGAAACTCAGTGGAGACGGGAGACCCATCTGATTTGGTGTCAGGAGGGACCTCTGGGGCCTCTGCCTGCAAACCTCGGCGCTCAGGGCACAGCTGCCACATCTGGCTCAACTCACCAATTCTTCACCTACATATGCAGATTTACCTACCATTTTAAGATTCCTTTCAAAGGCCATGTCTTTTCTCCTTTGAACCTAACCTTAATAGAGCACATTGAAAAGTGTGTTTTAAACAGAGCTTTTACCACATAGAGGTGGAAAGTTTAATGTCTCTAATTTCCACTTAGATCTCGTGGATACAGTGGACAAGACACACTTGGTTTGGGTTTCCACGAGATCAGTGACAAGATATAAGCAATGCTAGTGATATTATAAGGCTAACAGGAAACCAGTGTTTTGACTAGTCACATGAATGAAATTTAGGCAACATACTTGAGTGACAGGGTGATGTGTATTTTAAATAGCCACATCTGGTTCTTCAGTTGATGAGATTTTCAAGTACACACCAGCCATAGTTACTTTCCTAAGAGATGCACTGTAGATGGCTTGAGTTTTCTTTAATAAGCTGCCATTTTGTTTTGTTTCCCAAGATGATTCTATTCACAGAAAAGCCACCTTATAGAAGAATTCTCTGTTAACACTCAGGTAAACTACGAAATGATATAAACGTATCTTTTGTAACTTGTCTTTAAAAATATATATACCACAAGGACAAAGAAAGAGATTTTAGTAATAGTTTGCACAGCAGAGTCTACTGGGAGGAGCAGTTTTGGAGCTCCAGGAATAGGAAGGATATTTTTTGAGTTTTAGTGATGATTAAAATCACAAAGTGTGCTTTAAATGTTATTGATTACATCTAATGTTTGCTTCGACTTTTAATTGAAATCCTTTGCTATTGTCTTTTTATCTTACTAGCAATGCTATTTTAGACTAATTGGCTCTATAGCTACCCAACTCAGATTTTTCTCAAGCATCAGCTTTAAATTTTATTATGTAATAAAATAAATACTCCCTTCTCTTGCTTCCAACACACTTAGAGCCGTAAGTGATATAAGCAATATTTAACCACATTTGCTGGGAATA